GTGCTCCCCCCGGGCCGGCGCAGTGTGGATGGCAGGCGGCACCCGCAGGTAAGGGCAGTGCGGGGCCGCGTCCCCGGGGTCCCCGGGGGGTGCTGGGGTGCAGCGGCTGGGAGCAGCCCCAGGAGGAGTGGGTGCAGGAGAGCCCTCGCCATCCTCACTGGCTGCACGGGGCGAGCGCCCACCGGCAGGCACCCCGATGTGCCCGGGGGTGCCAGGGAACCCCCATGTCACCCCCACCGGTGCGTCTGGCTCCACCGGGCATGTCGGCTCCTGCCGGCACGGGGGGGATCTGGCACAGGCCCGTCTGCGCGGCAGCTCCGGCAAGATGGGGGGACACCCTCGGCTTCCCCCCGGTGCCTCCAGCGAGGCAAGGGGACGCGTGGGGAGGGGGCCGAGCCCAGGGACCCGCTGCCGCTGGGGTCACACCTGGGGGGTGTTGCTGGGGCTGTGGAGGAGTGGGGTGCACCCAGCCCCATGGCTGGCACCCCACAGCCCCGGCGGGTGCAGGGGAGCAGGCTTGTGGGTGCTGACCCTGCACCCCGCTGGGCTGGGGGGGCCCGGGGCCCCCAGGAGGGGGGCAGCCGCTCTCCCCGCGAGGCAGCGTGGGACCGGGGGGGGCTGCAGCCCCTGTCCTGGTGGGGACGGACCTGCTGCGGGTGCAGCCTTGGATGGGGGGTCCCCACGGCCACGGCAGCGGGGCGGCCACGCTCCCCCCACCCCAGCAGGCGCTGCTGGGCGGTGGCTCGGCGTCCCGCCGGCCCGGGCTTGTCCGGGTGCAGGTAGAGCTGGCGAACCTGTCAGACGGGTCCTCCGAGTGCTCCCGGCAGGCACCGGGCTCGCCGTCTTCCCCCCGCGCTCCCGCAGGCCTGGCCCGCTGTGGGCCCTGCCCTGGACCCCCTTCCCCAGGGACTCGGGGTGCCAACCCCGGGCCGGAGCTGTGTGGCATGGCCAGGGTCCAGCCGGGGCGGCATCACCCAGCGGTGCCGAGGGCCGTATCCTCCTGGACGCTGGCTGACGGGAACCAGCCGCAGCCCCCGTCCCGGTGCGTGGCTGTGCCGGCGGCACGTGGCAGGGGGGGCTGGGGAGCCTGGTGCAGCCCTGTTGGCCGATGCATTGCAGGGGGGAGCAGGGGACTGAGTCAGCCGCCCCGGCACAGCGTGGCACGGCGAGCTCTGCTTGCAAAATCCCTCCTGCTGCTTGCCTCTACCTTGGCACAGCTCCCCGGCGGGTGTGCAGCACCACCGCCAGCTCGGTGGGAACCGGCCACCCAGCCCTGCTCCGCTCCGTGCCCTCGGGCAGGGCGCAGCGTGGCACACCGGGGCAGCCTGGACCAGCTGGGAGACTCCTGGGGTGCTGGTCCGGGGGATCCCTGCTGCCCCAAGGCGGGGGAGAAGCCCTTGTTGGGACCCCAGCGCTGGGGCTTGGGTGCCGCGAGGGCTTCCACAGCCCCAACAGCAGGTCCGGCGTGCGCCTGGACCGGCCGTGCGGCACGAGACTCGGCATCACCCCGCGGCAGCATCCATCCTCCGCAGGCAGGGCTGGGTGCATCCCGCTCTCCGGCCAAACGCGTAAGGGCCTGGCGTGGCCAGCCAGCCTCGGGGACGCAGCTCTGCCCCTGCCACGCGCAGCCTGGCGTCGGGCCGTGCCTACCTGCCGGGCTGCACGCAGCCGGCGCGGAACGTCACCGTGGCCTTTGCTCCCGGCTGCGGACTGGACGGCTCTTCTTCCTTCTCCGGCCTCGCCGCGGGTGACGTCAGCCCAGGCAGGGGCTGGGGCGCACCTGGGTGTCCTGAGCTGAGAAACCATAAATAGTTTGTCACGAGCTCCGTGGCCTCTGGCCGGCTCCACCTGCCCCGTGCCGCTCTGCCGCGAGTGTTTATGGTGCAAAATGGCTTCACCTTTGTCCTCCTAACCGCAGCCGGCGCAGCAGGAGCCCTGCCTACGCAGGCATCGACCCCGTCCCACGGTCACCGGGGGCGGCCCCCAGCGCCGCACGCACGAGGCGGCGTGGCCGTGACCGTGCGCACGTGTGCGCCACCGCTGCCGTTCCAGGTGCCGCGCCGGGGCTCGCTTGCCCCCCCCTGCCGCCCCCCCCGCCCCTGCCGTGGCTCGTCCCCCAGCGTCGAGCCCCACGGGGGGGTAACGGGGCACCCTCCAGCCCCAGCTTGTCCCTCGGGCTGTCCCCAGCAGGGGACATGTGCTTGTCCTTCGGGTCCAGCCCCCGATGGCCGCGGGCCAGGCAGAGCAGTGACGCTGGGACCCGGCCGGGTCCCCGTGGTCTCGCTCCCAGCCCTGTCCCCGTGCGCTGGTGGCCCTGCCCCAGGGCTGGGGACCGCAGCGGAGGGGATGGGGGAGCCCCTCAGCCGACGGCGCTGGGTACCAGATCCCAGTCCCATGGGACGGATCCGGCGTGGTGCTCCAGGGGTCTCGTTGGCTTGCACCGGGCTTTGCCAGGGGCTGCACCCCGCATCGCTGCTCCCTGCCTCGGTTTCCCCAGGCACCCGGCACAGGCGCACCCCGTCTCTGCCACGGTGGGGGCAACACCGGGGCGATGCCAGGACCCCGGGGAGGGAAGCGGCTGTGGTGCTGACTGGCTCCCACCACCCGCCCGGCGCCCGCC